GCTTAGCGGTAGTTTAAAAGATTGTTTACTTACACTGAGATGGCAGTGGTGTAGGCTGGAAAACTTGCTTGAGTTGCGGTTACAGACAGACAACAAAACAAAACTCGAACCTGCAGGGCACGAGGGTACGTCGCAAAGGGTTTTCGGCGACGGGAAGATGCAAAACACGAGGGTACGTCGCAAGGGTTTTCGGCGACGGGAAGATAAACCTGCAGGATTTGAACCCGGGTAGAAGAGCTCTGAAGTCGGTCGTAAGGACTCACATGAAGTTTGCTAGGCTCCGTGGGTCCATTTTTTTTGCGCGCGGGAAGGGATACGTCTAGGCTGTGATAGACGACGGGGAGAGGCTAGAGGTTGATCAGACCTCTGTTGCCTGCTTGAAATGCACTGGGTCCGTAAGGATCCGCAGCACTTAGAGATCTTCACACAGCGTGAAGTCTCCTCCTCCCGGTGTTCGTGGAGTCCTCCAACTTGGGCGGAAACCACTCAAGCCTTTTATACGGCTAGCAAGCCAATCACTAGCCGCCACGTGTGAATAATTTAGAACTGGCCAATAATGGGACTCGAATTAGCATACAAATGGTGGGAACTCTTTGCAACGAGCATTTCTGTGCTGCAACAAAGAAATGCACCCTGCAAAGAAAGCTTCAAATTGGAGGGAAATTCTCCCTTGCACCGGGGTTCTCTTTTGCAGCAGAAAACTCCACTGTGCAAAGAAGCTATAATTTAGCGGGAACAATTTAGCAGTGCCGAAGCACACAAAAACAAAAATCACACCCTTTGGGTTGTGACACTGATGTTTGAGACTCTGGTCACCCCAGGTGACATTTAGGTGTTGTTCCACATCCCAGTTTCTCAGATGAAAGCACATAATTGAGTTTTGCTAGGGTTGGATTTGATATAATAGTTCAGGTAGTAATCTGACATTTTGTTCAGCACCCTCTCCAGAGTCTTCTCTGTGTCCTCACACTTCTGCTGTGTGGCAATGCAGAGATTGTCAGCAGAGATGAAACACTGACATGCAGCAGGAAGTGGCTGATCATTAATGTAGATGTTGAATAAAAGTGGGGCAAGCACACTGCCTTGTGATAAGTTGTGTTTTTGGGAGTGCCATCTATTTTTCCAGCCATTTAGTTTCACATAGAAGCTCCTGTTCTCCAAGAGGCTATGAATGGTCTGGCTTTCATCTAAGTCATCAGTCATGAGGTACAGTTTGTGGATCGTGACCCTAGTTAGGTCAGTCTAAGTGTAACATCTGCATGTACCCTGAGGGTTCATCTAGTCCTGTCCCACACAGAGGCTAGATGCTTCAGAGACAAGGTGCAAGAAACCTTGTAGCAGGCAGTTATCAGATAACCTCTGCCCAGGAAAGTTTCTACCATTCTCCTAAAATCTAGGGTTCAGCCGAATCCCTGAAGCATAATTATAGCTGGGTGAGGGGTGTGCATGTTATGAAAACACTTGTCAAGGACAAGAAATGTATTGCCTATCCCCATCTTCAGTCCCTCTGAGTCAGGAGCCAGTGAAAGATCAACCACCTCGTGTCACTTTGGTTCAGTTTGCTCTGTGTCTCAGCTGGTCTAAAACTGATTCTCCATTCTTACTGGAACTTTTTGTTCTATTAGTGAACATTGCTGAACTGCCACCAGAGGTGGTTCAAGCGCCTACATTGAACACCTTCAAGAGCAAACTGGATGCTCATCTTGCTGGGATCCTATGACCCCAGCTGACTTCCTGCCCTTTGGGCAGGGGGCTGGACTCGATAATCTTCTGAGGTCCCTTCCAGCCCTAATGTCTATGAAATTTATGAAATCCCCTCCATCCACCAAACTAGCTATTTTAACAAGTGAGAAAATAGCAGGGGCTATTTTCTATTTTAACAAATGAGAAAATAGCCAGGGGCTCAGAGTCCATGTGGCACACGCTCATTACCCAGACATGTCAGACCAGGGTTAGCTCTGCCAGACTGGGTGATGCTACATCCCTTCAGCAAGCCACAGCTGGGCATCCCCAGAGCCCAGGGGGTCCTAAATCATGATAGCATGGAAGGTTTAAACCCTTGAAGATTACCTTATTTAATCATACACCACATGCACACCCTCCACAAATCAGACCTCCAAAATTGGGGTGAGTATCTTCAGCAAGGAAGCTGGCTTTCCTTTGCTGGAATAGAAGCACGGAAACACTGTGCTAAGAAGCCTCAGGGAGAAGTGGCAGGCATCGAGCAGCACAGGCAGAGTCCAATGTTAACCATTGTGCAGCTGCTGCTGAAGTAGCTTTTGGCTGAAGAGCCACCAAGGTAGCTGAAGGTGAGCAAGCTGCTGACTGCATTCTGTAGTATCACTAAGTTTGTGGTGAGGAAACTTTAGCTTTTACAGGAAATTAGATAAAAAGCAAGTTGAAGTACAGCCTTGCTACTGCCTTCTCAAGCCTCCGGGGCCTACACTTGTTGTTCTGCCACACAAGGGAGTTCTTGCTGCCTCACCCAGTTTCTCTCCTAGGATGCCATCTATGCTCCTTGGGTACTCTTTCCAGGAGGACTTACTCTGTGACAGCCTGCCACCGCTCTGGAAGAGTCCTTTGCCCTCCATTCCCTCTTTTAAGAAAGGCATATAGATTGTATTTGTGGGCCTGTAGTGTACAAGTACAGTAGCCTCCCCAGCTGTGCATCAGACTCTCAACACCTCCACTGCAGACAAATCTCAGACCAGCTTAGACAATAACCCTGGATATTGGTCAGTCTTCAGGCCATCCCCCCCACACATGTTCTGCACCAGGAGTCCTGCACTCCTGGCCACAGTGGAGCAGCTACTGAACCCACCATCAAGACCCACTGACAAGACTTGCCCAGCCCTAGGGGCAGGTTACCAGGCTGCACCCCCACTGTCCCAGACAGCCTGACCAGGCCATACAGTGCCCCAGACCCCAATAAAGGAGGGCTCCCATTCCACACCCCAACAGCTCAAGTAGTTGGTAGGCAATCTCCAGACCAGGCAAGCATCCCTCAAGCTTTGGCTTGAGATGCAGGCCCCAGTGGCTTCTTTCAAGAAACCCTGGCAAGACTAGCACTAAGGCAAGAGAACAGGGCCTGCCAGGACAGACAGGAGGAGGACTGTGTGTAGAGCGGCCATTACAGAGGACATTCCAGTTTTCTGCTACTCTGTCCTCTATTGATTTGAAACCTGGCACTTATGTCCTCTATTTTTCTCTTCAAGAGAGAAAAAAAAAACCCAACATAAAGGCATCCAGTTTTCATATCAATAGAGGACAGCCAGATTGTCCTCTATGGTGGCCACTAATTGTGCAGGCAACTTGAGCACTCACTGCAGACAGACAGGCTAGATACTAGGTAGACACATCCCACTGTACCCTCTTGCCTCTTAAGGGCAGAGAGAAAAGAAAGACAGAAAGCAGAGAAAGTAACAAGCCTGCTAGCTCCATCAGCCTCCAGAACCAAGCAATTTTTTTATTCTCACCCTAACAATAGAGAAAAGGAGACATAGCTGCCACTGGGTAAACGGAGGCACAGTTCAAACTCTAGGCAAGGAGGATTCAACAGAAACAGGAAGTAGGGCACTCTTGTCCCCTCTGCTCAGTAGGGCTCTTCTTGCAGTCCCAGGATGGAGCTGTCACAAGCTTAAGGTGGCTTTAAGAGCAGCTCAAGGCCAGATCCCGCTTTGCCCTGGCCACGGCCTTCAGCCTGAGCCCTCTTTGCTCAGAAGCCAGGAGAATTCAAACACATATTTTACCACCCCCACCCTGAGTTTGGCAGCTCAGGAGTTATGTAACTGAGCCCCCTCTAGAGCACCTCATGTTTTCAAGTCATACAGAAAGGAGAAGCTACTACAGGGAAAAAAAAGCTCCTCCCCCCCCGCCATTGAAGGGGAAAAGAGTACAGCCTTACCTTTTGCAAGCCAGATGAGGCCTAGGATCACAGACCAGATGCCACAGGGCAGACCCATGGCACAAGAAACAACCCAGAGCCCTAGCAGCCACCCTGAGACCCTCAACAACACAACCACAAACAACAAAACCTAGTCTGTTCACAACCCCTACCCCCTCCCAGCCCTGATAAAGGGGCAGGCAGGAGCTGCACCTGACCCCAGTCTCCTGATTAAGGTAATTAGCCACAGAGCCTAGAGCCCACAGGGCAGCTAAGAGACTGCCACAGGTGTGTGCTGCAGAGCTAGGGGCCTCCCTGTGGATACAAGCTCACTGCAATGAGCTTGCACGCAGGCATATCAGCTAGCACAGGTACCAGGGTGACCAGCATGAATAAAACCCAGAGCCCTGTACAGACACATGCATGCAGTGTTGTAGGATGCACAGACACATTGCGGTGGGTGCACAGGTGCTGAATACACACAGTGCTGTGGGGCACAGACACTCTGGATATCCACATAACACTGTGAGACACAGATGCATACATAGATAGCACTGTAGGGCACAGAGATGCTCTGGACACACACACACACACACACACACACACACACACACACACTGCTGTGGGGTGCACACACAGTGGATAATATAACAGGCTCCTGCCTTGGCCTGTGCCTTTAATGCAGGGGTGGGCAATTATTTCAGCTAGAGGACCACTTAACAAGTTTTGGTGACCTGTCAAGGGTGGCAAGCGTAGCCCTGCCCCTTGACAGGTGCCCGCCCCCAGTCTCCATTTTGATATCAGAAGTCCTGTCCCTAACCCCTGACCTTTGCCACAGGGTGTCCTTCCCCTTGCCTCCAGAAGTACGCCTTTTGGGAGGGGAGGTTGCCATCTTGGAACCAGAACAAAACAAATTGCATACTAAAAGTCAAACATCTACTATAACATATTTAAAATATTTTAAAAATAGAATTAGTCCTGATGTATTTGGGTTTGCATAGTGTATATAGAGGTGATTGCATAATAGCTCAAAAATAAAGTCTTATGCTTGTATATTGTGTGTTGGAGCATGTGGGTGGTGGGTGTGTATGGTGGGGTGTGGGGAGGGGGTGGGAGTGTGTAGACATATGTCTGTGGTCTATTATGGCTTTTCCCATGCTTCTAAGCTTTGCTGGTTATCACATGGAGCCAGGAAGGATGATTTTCCCCCTCCTGTGGTTACGTGTCACAGTAGTTCACCCCCACCAACTCTTAACAGCTTATCACAGTCAAGATTTTCTGTCCTTGCTCAGTTCCTCATTGTGGTATCTTAGTGGCTAGTGAGGCTAGGGTAGCTGCTGGTACCATTCTCTTCCCTGTCCTCTTGGAATGGCACAGTTACCTCCTTAGGGATGGTTTAGCCTGGTAGAGAGCAACCCCAGGGGAGCTCTGCTACCTAGCACAGCTGCTGGCAAGGGAGACTCACCTGGGGCTGCTGTCCGGGGACTCTACCAGCTACACCAGCCAAAGTGGCAGTGCTGGGTAGAGAGACGCACCAGGGGTCAACCCTGCCTTGGAGGTTGTGACTACTACAGCTCCTCACCACTGCCAGGAACTGCCACTGCTCCTCACTGCCAGGGGTCACTATCACCACTGCTTCTCTTCAGCCAGCTCAGCACAAAGATTCCCAAAGGGGATATGTGCCAGGGTGCACTGCTGTCATGAGAGCAACAGAAGTGTGCTACGAGATCCCCTGTGTGACGATGTTAATGCTCTGCTCCCCCATCCCGCACCCTGCCCTGCACCATCTTCTCCAGCAGTGGTGCCTCCAGCTGTTCTTCTAGGGACTGCCACTGCTACTGCCTTCTCCCATCCTTTCCCATCCCCAGGCAGCCCCTGCGCTGGCTCCCCCATGCTCCCAGGAGCACACTCTGCTGTGAGAGTACTTGTACACATGGTGTGATGGGGGTTTAGTGCTCAGGGTTTTATTTTATGCTACCCTAAATTGAAACTGGGTTTTAAATTGAAACCCACCATTTCAATTTTTCTTTTATGTTACAGCGATGGGCCCAATTCTTTTATTTTTGCTGGAGCTGAAGCATGCCCGCAGCTAGGGGTGGGGCAAGCTGCCCATGGGTCGGGGG